AATGAAACAAAGCTTTCAAGGACATATTTAATGAAACAAAGTACATCAAGAGAAGTTTATAACATGGATATACTGCATACTTCAGTGGTTCTTTGCTTCACCATAATTCCACAATTTTCCTACTACATCAGCTTCTTTACAGTGTTCTTGAGTTGGCTACTTGGTTCTTTAGAAGTTAAAAATATTGATTTGAACATTATAGGTTCTTAAGATCTGTTTCTGGGTTCCTTTCAGATGAACTTGTTTTACAGGAGTTCGTTTCTCTCAGAATTTTCTCCTAAAACAATACAGAAGCAACTGGGACAATTGTAGACATAATATTGCATAGTATTACATGACAAATGTGATCCCAATTTGAAACATTTTTTAAATTTTTTATGGAAAGTGTGATATAGAGGGTCTTATTCTTAAGGTAGAGTTCTGAGAAGCAGAATACATTAGCAAAAGTCCCATTTTGTTCTCCATTCAACTTCATTGTTGTCCTAAAATGACTATATCTCCTGTGTGATTTTTCTTGCTTAGGAGAAAGGGTAAAAGAAAAGGTTTTTTGTAAACCTAAATAGGTTCTTTTTGGCATCAGGCTGTAAAAGCTTTTTGGGTTCTAACTGGATTGTGGACATGATGAAAATATCCCACTGTGAAAGGGAGGCTATACAGCTCATTTAGAGCTGATATGAGATCAGTTGTTGATGTAGCGGTGGAGGAAGAGTTCAGGAGGTCTGATCGGGCCTGTGCTCTGAGGACTCGAGGAGGAAGTAGACCAGTGACTACAGTGTGATTGATGAAGCGAGCTCACCTAACTCCATGCATTAGCTCTCTCTAAACATTCTGGGCTCACTTATTGATATTTCCATCTGTCATCTCCCCCCCTCCGCCACCCCGTACCCACCAGCCACCGGCTGTAAGGTCATTTTTTATGCTGAGATACTTTTGAATCAAAGGGAATGACGTGTTGCCTCAGTGTGTCGGATCATTTGGCCGACTCCTCCGGATTTAATGACATCTGGGATTGAAAGGGGGGACGGGGCATTGATATTGATTTGTTAAGGCGTAATGCACCGTATGAATCTGAAAGAGATATGCCTGACCCGCGGAATGTGTAGTAATGTTAATGCACTTTGCATTAAAGGACCGCTAACACATGTTTTTATGGCAGTGTGATTAAATTTAGAGCTCCGTAAACATCAGGAGGGTCCTATGGCGGAGTTCTGCTCCCATTACTCTTTGCTCGGCTCTTGATATCGTTTACTGGAAAGCCGTGATTAGAGGCAAAATGACACAAAAACGCATAACAAGAAAATAAGACCGAGTACGCACATCTCCGGAGAGAACGAAGCGTTTTACCCTGCCAGGGAGAGAAATATCGAAGTGCTCTTTGCTGAGACGGTATGAGATGAACGTGGGTTTTTTTTTCAAGATGTTTTATTGAGTTTGTTGGATACAAGGCGAACTAAGACAGCATCAGTGATGTAGTCCAGGGCTGCGTTTCCCAAAAGCATCGTAAGCTTAAAGGAATAGTTTACCCAGAAATGAAAATTCTGTCATTAATTACTCAACCTCACGTCGTTCCAAACCCGTGAGACATCTTTGGAACACAAATTAAGATATTTTCGATTTTTTTTATTTTTCTTTGCGCACAAAAAGTAATCTCATAGCTTTGTAAAATTATGGTTGAACCCCTGATGTCACATGGATTATTTTACTGATGTCCTTGCTAAGTTTCTGGACCTTGATCGTGGTAATTACATTGCTGTCTATGGGAGGGTCAGAGAGCTCTCAGAATTCATTAAAAATATCTTAATTTGTGTTCCGAAGATGAATGGAGGTCTTACGGGTTTGGAATGACATGAGGGTGAGTAATTAATGACAGAATTTAAATTTTTAGGTGAACTATCCTTTTAAGTACATCATAGACCCATTGAAACCAAGGAAGCTACCATCAACTTTTGGGAAACGCAGCCCAGGTCGTCGATCATATAAGTATGGGGGTTTAAAGTGTATTGCTGATGGCCAAAGAAGAAAGTGACACAACACATTGGAGAGAGGGATAAAGTCATGCAGTGTGAAGGGGGTTGTTCTCTGGGCCTCAATGATAAGGCGAGGAGATGTCTGGAGGAGCTTCAGCTTTAGCTTGTGCTGCTACAGCTGGTGTTTGGCCTGGCTTGGCCCTTTCCAGACCTAGATTAGCTGTCATCTGATGCCAAATCTCACTCCAAACCCCCCGCCTACTGCCCCCTCACCCCTGCCCTCTCTCCCTTCCAAGACCTCCAGAAAACAGAGTCGTGTGATGTTCTGATTCATGTAGACAACACTCACAGTCGGCAAAGTGAAGCAGCTTTTGAGTTTTCTTTGTTTATCATGTGATTCGATTTTTTGAGGGAGGATGTTTTATTGTTTGTCAAAGTCTTTGGTTTCATTCCAAAAACCTGCCTCCAGATCATAGACGTGGTCCAAATGCAAAAACATTTCTAAAAGGTAGGCAGTTTTATGCTGCCTGCTAAGAAATCTTCTTTTAAGCCAATTTCAAAAGCCAACACTTTTTTTTGAAGTAAGTGATGAGTTTAGTGAGAAAAATAAATGGTGGCTGAGAGAAATTAATGAAATGAATATAAAGCCTTACACTATGGACAGCAAAAAAGGTTTTAAAATAAAGGTTTTTAAGGTTTTAACTCAAGTTCACACACAAACCTGTGTGTGTGTGTGTGTATGTATGTTTTACTATGTGTCTACAATGCATCATGTATCTTGTAAGGTGAAAACCACATGTATAATTAGCTAAGGCTAGATCCTATCAAAATTAGACTGGTTCAAAAACCTTCCTTATACAACATTTTTATCAAGTCAGCATCAGTATTATGAATTAATGGTATAATCTTTTATTATCTCTTAAAAATCATTTTAACAAAACTGCTTCACTGCTTACTGGTATTTGTCTGCAAAATCCAAGTAATGTGATGCAACTAACATATAGAAACAGCAGAAAAAACATAAAACAGGAAATTATATCAGAGTTGACCCTTGCATATGTGTCAGGATCAATTAGCCTCTTAAAATACAGGTAATTTTACCTTTTTATGACAGTTCAAGGTTAATTCAGGTTGTAAAATGTCAAGTGTTGCGATTGCCCCAAAATTGTGTATATTTATGAAAAATCCTTTTTATTTTTGACAGTTTTGGAAAAACGATAGATGTAAGGGAAATATATTATTACATTTTCCTTTATGGTTACACTACATGACATGCTTTTTAATATATTGTTTCATTCTAGTATCGTCTGTATTTTTATAAAGCACGGGTTGCTGCCTATGTAGGAAATTTCAAATCTGTAGTTTATGAGATTCCATTCCAGTATGAATGTAGGCAGGTTTTAGCACAGACCTTTTGTGTGTAGGCTTTTGTTGACCCTGTGTGTTTCTTTTGATTTCATCTCGTCTTTGTTTCACTTTGATATTCTCTTAAATTGGACGAAGCACCCTGGTATGGCTTCTCATAGTGTGAACACTTGATTTGAGTTTGCTGTCTTATGTTCTGTAGTGAAGGGGGCTGCTTTGATGGTTTGGAAGATGGAGGATGGAGCAGGTGTGTCAACCACACTGGTGACAGACCATTAGAGTCTCTCGGCTGGAGCCGTTAGATCTTATTCATGTAATCTTCACACTGTGGACAGAAAAAGAGGATCTGAAGAACTCAAGTTTGTGTGTGTGTTTGCTGTGTCTGTGTCTACAACACATCCTGTTTTCTTGTGAACTGCAAGGCTTCATTTTAGTATCAGTAAATAAAAAGGCTTCATATTCAATATCAGAAAAAAACATGGTCATACGTGTGACTTGAGGGTGAGTGAACGAATTGTAATTTTCAGGTGAACTATCCCTTTAAGTGTCCGAATGCTTTTTAGTACCTCTGCATTTGACTGCACATGAAGTCACAGTTCCACCGAAGTAACTGCAGTTTCTGTGTCTCGAGTCGTACCTTCCTGCAGGTGCTCAATTTGTGTCTAAATTGCCCTAGCCAGCAAACTCATTTCAGAAGAGCTGGGCTGAAGCCAGACCATGTGAAAACCCTTAATGAAGTGGCTTTCTCTCTCTGAACCCCTGTCAATCTCTGCTCATCCACTTCCACTTGGTCATTCCAGTCATTTTGGCCCTTAGCGCCAAGTCCCCCTCGACCAATCCCATCCTGTCACATACAACATGGAAAATATCTCCACTATGAGTGACAGGAGCTACTAGCAATTTCTTTTTCGAGCTTTGTGTTAAAAGATGTTACGTTCTCAATCTTCGGCCTGTCATTTTGAGAAATTTTGCAGTTTTGTCGATCTCAGCTAAGTTGTTTTTCTTTATTTCCTCAGATTCTTGCATGGTGAATACACAGTGGAGGTGGCCATCAATGACTACCTGGACATCTACTGTCCGCACTACGAGGACCATCTTCCTCAGGAGCACATGGAGCACTACATCCTTTTCATGGTCAACTATGACGGCTACACCACCTGCAACCACCACATGAAAGGCTTCAAGCGCTGGGAATGCAACCGCCCAATGAGTCCGAATGGGCCCCTCAAGTTCTCAGAGAAGTTCCAGCTGTTCACACCCTTCTCTCTGGGCTTCGAGTTCCGCCCAGGCCA